GCCGTGGACCTGTCACTGTACTTTAGCCTGTGTGACAAGAGTAAGACCTTGGCTCTAAAACAAACAAAAATAATCCACCAATAGATAAATAAAAGGAATCCTCATACTAATATTAAGGATAATAATAATAACTGACTGCTGTTGAGTGTTTTATTTGTGCCTGTTTCTTTCCATGAAAGATAGCAGTTATTCTTCACATCAACTCTGTGAGGTAGGTCCTTTTACAGATCCAGGGTCTGGCTTGGTGGCTCATGCTATAATCCCAGCACTTTGTGTGGCCAAACTGAGAGGATTGCTTTAGCCGATAAGTTAGAGACCAGCCTGGGTAACATAATGAGACCTTGTCACTACAAGCATCTGTCACCCAGACTGGAGTGCAGTGGCCCCTCCTGACCACTGCAGTCTCGACCTGCTAGGCTCCGGCGATCTTTTCACCTCAGCCTTCCAAGTAGCTGGAACTACAGGCGAGCGCTACCATGCCTGGCTACTTTTTTGATTTATTGTAGAGATGAGGTCTGGCCAACTTGCCCAGGCGGGTCTCGAACCTGCAGGCTCAGGCAATCCACTCACCTCAACCTCCCAAAGGCGCAGGATTAGAGGCTGAGCCACCAAGGCCGGCACTACAAACATTTTTTAAAAATTAGCTAGGCATGATGGCACGCACCTGTAGTCCTAGCTACTTAAGAGGACAAGGCAGGAGCATCACTCAAGTCCAGGAAATTGAGGCTGCAGTGCGCCTGGATCCTGCCACTGCACTCAGCCTGGGAAACAGTAAGATCCTGTCTTGAAAGAAAACAAAAAAGTTTTACAGTTGCAGAAACTTGAGCTCAGAGATAATCAGTCACTTGCTTAGGATCACACAGTTGATAAATGCCAGAGCCTGGATTTGAAGCTAAATGTGTTTGATTTGTGAGCCAGAGTTGCTGTTTATTCCACTGTCAGAAATACAGGAAATAAACCATGAAGACTATGAAATATGTCATTGTCTGTTTAGGATTAAGTATCGAAACATGTTTATCAAAATGGAAAATAAAAAAACAAAGAAAAACTAGAAGAGTCATTGGATGGAACCTCACATCACTTGGTTCAAGTAAAGCAGTCCTTCTTACCTGTGTCCCTAGTTACTCAGGCACACTGTACTCACATGCCTCTCTGCCCTTTAGGGAGATTTCTTACCAGAGTAAATCTGTGTCAAATGAAATGTATACTCCCCTGCTCTAAGTTGAGAAAAATGAAACCACCATTTAATGAGCACTTGCTGTATGCCAAGCATTTTCCCATAATGCCATTTCTAAGAGTTCCACGTTCTGAATTGTATAGCAAGGATGAGCTTTTGGCTCCCTTGGCGGTCATCTTGTTACCTGAAATGATTCAGGCCTGCCAAAGTGTGTGGAAGCTACCTCCTAGGGGCAGGTAAGGACAGGCCCAGAGCCGGGTCACTGCTAAATTCTTTGGCTCTGAGGACAAGGGTTAGGAATGGTAAAAGAGAAAGGCCAATTCATCCTACTTGGATGCTAAACAGCCTTTCAGAGTGGAGAGAAATATATCCCACCAAGGATGGGGTGACCTAAGGATCTGGAGGCCTCTGTTAGGTAGTTCCATATCACACCCTGGCAGTACCAAGTTCAGGGAGCTGAGTGCCAAGCCTGTCAGTGTTCCTCAGGGGCCAGACCAACAAAGGTAACCTAAGAACACAGCCGAGCAACCACCGCCCTGGTCAGGAGCCCCATATGTGCTTCTCTTGAAAGTGCTGTATTTTTCCATTCCTGGGAAATTCTTCAAGCTCAGGTGACTCATCACCGCTTTTACTTGTACCAAAGGTGAATCCCAGATCTCCTCCCTCCTTTCCCCTTTCCAAGCCCAACCTCAGCTGGACCACACCTGGGCACCATCTCAGTGATTCTGGGGTAAGCTTGCTTGAGTTTCTGTCCTCCATTCCTGCTGGTTAGCAGGATTTTGGGGGGCATGGAGTTTCCCCTAGGGTAGGTTGCCAGATTTAGCAAATAGAAATGCAGGAACCCAGTTAAATTGAATTTCAGATAAACAGTGAATTGTGTGTGTCCCAAATATTTTGTTGTATTTTGCCTGATAATTTTATTCTGGGAGTATTTAAATACCTTCCATTAGCCTAGAGCAGGGGTTAGCAAATTTTCTTTGTAATGGGCCAGATATTAAATATTTTTATTTTATTTTATTTTATTTTTTTGAGTTGGAGCCTCACTCTGTTGTCCAGGCTGGAGTGCAGTGGCATGCTCATGGCCACCACAGCCTCGACCTGCTGAGTTCAGGTGATCTTTCTGTCTCAGTCTTCCAAGTAGCTGGAACTACAGGCATGTGCCACCATGCCCAGCTAATTTTTTTTAATTTATTGTAGAGATGAGGTCTTGCCAAGTTGCCCAGGCTGGTCTCAAATTCGTGGGCTCAGGCAATCCTCTTGCCTTGGCCTCCCAAAGTGCTGGGATTACAGGTGTGAGCCACTACGCCTGGTGGTTCAAGTATTTTTCTTATTTTCATTTAATTTTTATCATTTAATTATTGAGTTGGAGTCTCGTCACCCAGGTTGCAGTGCAGTGGCACGCTCACGGCCACTGCAGCCTTAACCTGCTGAGTTTCGGGGATCCTTTTTTTTTTTTTTTTGAGTCGGAGACTCACTCTGTCACCCAGGCTGGAGTACAGTGGCACGCTCATGGCCACCACAACCTCGACCTGCTGGGCTCAGGTTATCCTTCCACCTCAGCCTTCCAAGTAGCTAGAACCACAGGCATGTGCCACCACACCCAGCTAATTTTTTGATTGATTGCAGAGACAAGGTCTTGCCATGTTGCTCCGGCTGGTCTTGAACCCCTGAACTCAGGCAATCCTCTTGCCTCTGCCTCCCAAAGTACTGGGATTATAGGCGTGAGCCGCTGTGCCCAGCAATTTTTTAAAAAAATTATTGTAGAGATGAGGTCTCGCCAAGTTCCCCAGGCTGGTCTTGAACCCATGGGCTCAGGCAATCGTCTCACCTCAATCCCAATGTGCTGGGATTATAGGCATGAGCCACTGTGCCCAGCCAAGGTGATCTTTTCACCTTAGCTTTCCAAGTAGCTGGGACTACTAGTGCATGCCACCACTCCAGGATAATTTTTTGATTTATTGTAGAGACAAGGTCTTGCCAAGTTGCCCAGGAGGATCTCGAACCCCTGAGCTCAGGCAGTCCTCTGGCCTCAGTCTCCCAAAGTGCTGGGATTACGGGTGTGAGGTACTGCATCCGACCATTTTTTTTTTTTTTTAATTGGAGTCTCACTGTCGCCCAGACTGGAATGAATGGCATGCTCACGGCCACTGCAGCCTTGACCTGCTGCATTCAGACGATCCTTCCACCACAGCCCTCCAAGTAGCTGGAACTACAGATACATGCCACCACTCCCAACTAATTGTTTTGATTTATTGTAGCAATGGGGTCTCGCCAAGTTGCCCAGGCTGGTCTCGAATCTGTGAGCTCAGACAATCCTCTCACCTCAGCCTCCCAAAATGCTGGGATTATAAATGTGGACCACTGTGCCCGGCTGCAATTTTTATTTTTTAGAGACAGGGTCTCTGTCACCCAGGCTGAGTGCAGTGGTGCGATCATTGCTCAATGTAGCCTTGACCTCCTGAGTACAAGGTATCCTTCTGCCTCAGCCTCCTGAGTAGCTAGGACTATAGGCTCAAGTCACCACACCTGGCCAATTATAAAAACTTTAAATCTAGATCCCCTAAGTAGTATTTCCTAAAGAGTGGTCCTGGGCCAGGCATGGTGGCTTGCTCCTATAATCCCAGCATTTTGGAAGGCAGAGGCAAGAGGATTACCTGAGCTCAGGAGCTCAAGAGCATCCTGCATAACTTGGTGAGAATCTGTTTCTACAATAAATAAAACACCAAAAACAATTATTCAGGCAAGGTGGGGCATGCCTGTGGTTCCAGCTACTTGGAAGGCTGAGACAGAAGGATAGCCTCAACACAGCAGGTGGAAGCTGCAGGATCTCTGGGGGTAGAACTCCAGAGAACTTATTTATCAAGTTCCACGAGAATTCTGATATTCACTAGAGATGGAGAATTATTTTTTTGGACACTAAAAGGCCCAGAAAGAAAGAAGGGAACATCAGTTAAAGGGATCATCCCCAGCTGGTTAAGGCTGACATTGGGGAGACTGAGCTGGGCCAGAGACAGTGTAATGCAGGGGATGACAGTCCTCTCAAAAATCTGGGTTTGAACCACAGCGACTAGTGTGGTCTTAAATCACAACCCCTTGTACACCTGCCTGGCTTCCTCTCCCCATTACCTTAAAGCCTTTGACAACTGCCGCTTTCTCAGACAGGCTTTCCCTGACGACAGTATTTTAAACTGCCTTCCTTTTTCACCCATCTCCACCCCCATCCCTGCTTTATTTTCCTCAGTAGCTCTTATCACCATCTAATATACTATCTACTTTACTTATTTATTGTCTGTCTCCTCCACTACAAATAAAGCTCCATTAAGGTTTCGTCTGTTTTATTTATCGATGCATCGTCCGTGTCCAAAACAGAGCATGTCAAATAATAGGCATTCAATAACTAAGTGTTGTATGACTAAATCTATCTACAAAAAGGGAGGTAATAATAGTATCTACGTCCTAGGGAAATGCTAGGGCTGTTATGAATATTAAACGAGCGAATACATTTAAAGATCCTGCAGCACGGTGTCTAGGCACACACTGAATAACTATTCACCTAGGATGCTTCCTGGTTGGCTGGGTCTCGGAGAGAGTTGGAGCGTTCTCGAGCTTTTGGGGTGAATTTTAACTGCTGATCAGCCCCCTCTCCTGACTCTCCCCTGGGTCACTCTCCCGGAGAAGTTCCTGGTTCCTCAACAATTAATCACAGCCAAGTCTAACTGGTTCTTCAGGACAGAGGATAAATAGGATAGACAGGAGCAGCCGAACTCTAACTTTGACCGAGAGCTCTCTCCCTTCTTGTCCTCACTTCCCAGTAGGCGACTCGACAGGGATTTTAATGGCAACACCTGCCACCTCTTGCTCGCCAGACTTCACCTGCAACGCGGAAGGACAGCGTATAACAGAGGGAGCCATGGGCGAAGCTTCCCTTTCCGCGCAGGCGCTTTCAGTCGCAACCACGCGACTATCGCGATAGACCAGCGAGATCGACGCTGGCCCTTTAACAGCCCCTTCCCGGGAGCCTGCTCCGCGCGTGCTCACTGCGGTTCTGCGCTTGTCATCATGGCGACGCGGGGCCATGTGCAGGACCCCAACGACAGGCGCCTCCGGCCCATTTACGGTGAGTATCTGGAGTCAGCCTACCCGCCAGCCCGACGCGTCGAGGGCTGCCGAGGCCGGGGCGAAGGCCTGGGAGGGAGGCTGAAAACCCACGCGCGGGCCAGACGGGAGCGCGGGGCGGGCCGCGCGGGCCAGTAGGCCGCGGCCGCGGGCCTCGCGTAGGCACCGGCCCTGCCTTCCTGAGCCCCGAGGTGGTGGCGGCGCGGTCGGTGCCGCGACTGGTCGGCAGAGCTGGCCTGCGCCTGGGGGGTAACGTCCTTCCTGAGAAACCCGTGCTACCCGCGGGCTGCATTGTTACGGCCGCTCCAAGAGAGACCCGAGACCTCCCCGAAGGGGGAAGCCGACTCCGGCATGAGGGTGGGACACCCTACCCCAGGGAAAGCTCCCTACCAAATTTTTTTTTTCTTTACGGGAACTGGGCCTAGGGGCTTGTCTGGCTAAATGGGCTTCTCTCCACACGGAGAGACCGGGGTCGGAGAAGGGAAGGGGCCGACGCAAGGTCATCCGGATCGAGTCAGGAGCAGGCCCGGGATTCCTGGCTCCCGGTGCAGAGCTGTTTGGTGGAGAAACAGCAGAACAGCAGCTCTAGGCCCATGTGGGAGGCGGGGGGAGGGGGTCTGGGGCCCAAAATAGCGGTGGAGAGACCGTGATCGCTCATGTCAGAGGGGCGCGCGGAGCTGCTGGAGGGCTTTCTTCTGAAACTCCGTGTGCTGAGTGCATCCTTCTCCCCCACTGTTCCTTCTACCCAGGCTTAAGACCTAGGTGTCATCTTGCTAACCCTGGTAGCGAAGACTCACAGATTTGAGTTTGTGAGAAACACTTTTTCAAGAACCGAGATGTCTGTCATCGGACGATCTTCCCTTTTGCATTTCCTCTTCTCTTACATGGTTGCATGGAGGCTTCTCCGCGTGGCTGAAGCCGTTTAGATGTGTTTTTTTTTGGGGGGGAGGTGTGGGGGGTGGAGTGCAGGGGTTAACCTTATGTTTTTGGCCCAGCCGGTCCTGCCTCTCTTGTAATTTGTAGGATGCTTTACTCTAACATCTCTTTTGATTCTAGCAACAACAACCCTGTGAAGTGGATAATAATAATTCTAGCTAAGGTGTATAGACCACTATTTATGTTAGTCACTGTCCTGGGTCTTTCATATGGGTTGTCTCGTTGAATGTGCATATGTTCTCATGAGGTGAGTACTGTTTTCTTGTGGTTTCCTCCTCTTTTTCTTTTTTTCTTTTTTTTGAGTTAGAGTCTCACTCTGTCACCCAGGCTGGAGTGCAATGACATGCTCACGGCCACTATAGCCTCTACCTGCTGGGCTCCGGTGATCCTTCTGCCTCAGCCTTCCAAGTAGCTGGAACTACAGGCATGCGCCACCACACCCGGCTAATTTTTGACTGATTGTAGAGATGAGGTCTCGCCAAGTTGCCTTGGCTGGTCTTGAACCCGTGGGCTCAGGCAGTCCTCTCACCTTGGCCTCTCAAAGTGCTGGGATTATGTGTGTGAGCCACTGTACCTGGCCTCGCTTTTTCTTTTCTTTTTTCTGTGTTGGAGTCTCACTCTGTCACCCCAACTGGAGTGCAGTGGCACGCTCCCGCCCACTGCAGCCTCAACCTGCTGAACTCCAGCAATCCTTCCTCCTCAGCCTTCCAAGTAGTCACAACTACAGGCGTGCACTACCACTCCCGGTTAATTTTTTATTTGTTGTAGAGACAACATCTTGCCAAGTTGCCTGGGTGGGTCTCGAACCCGTAGGCTCAGGCGATCCACTCACCTTGGCCTCCCAAAGCACTGGGATTACAGGCTGAGCCACCGAGCCTGGCCCTCTCTTTTTCTTTTTACCAGATGAGGAAACTGGGGTTTTATTGATACTGTGTAATTTTTCTAAGGTCACTCAGTGTTTTTTGGAGCTAGGATTTGAAACCCTATGGACTGTTTCAGGCTCACCCTCATAACCACTGTACTGGAAACCACTGTGCTTTGAGTTGAAGACACTGACGTTCTTAAAGTCCCACAGGTGGTGAGTGAGAGAGAAAGGACTCTGATTTCCATTTTGCCAGGGCTGCATATTCCATGCCCTTGTCTTCCATTTTATAGTTCAGAGGGTAGAGATGACATGAGCAATGTGGGTGTTAAAAGGTGAGAACTGAATCTAGGGTTCATAGTTTGTGACTCATTACAGCTTTGTGCAGTAGCTGCCTGCAGACTTTTTTGCTTTGAGTCGGAGTCTCACTCTGTTGCCAAGGCTGGAGTGCAGTGGCACAATCATGGCTCACTGGAACTCGCAGACTCAAGCAATCCTCTCTTCCCAGCTTCCTGAGTAGCTAGGACTACAGATGTGCACACTACGCCCAGCTTTTTTTTTTTTGACTTGAGGTCTTGCTATATTGTCCAGGCTGGTCTTGAAGTCCTGAGCTCAGGCAATCCTCCTGCTTCAGCCTCCCAACCTGCTGGGATTACAGATGTGAGCCATGGCACCCATCCCAGACTTTTTTTTTTTTTAAATAAAAGTATTCAATACTCTCAGTAATTATTACATTTTTAAAATTGTTCTTGGCTGGGCATGGTGGCTTACACCTGTAATTCCAGAACTTTGTGAGATGAAGATGAGAGGATTGCCTGAGCCCATGGATTTGAGACCATCCCCCAAGCAACAAAGCGAGACCTTATCTCTACAATAAATCAAAAAATTAGCCAGGCATGATGCTGCTCCCCTGTGGTTCCAGCTACTTGGAAGGCTGAGGCGGAAGGAACACCTGAACTCAGCAGGTTGAGGCTGTGGTAGCTGTGAGCTGTGAGGACCACTGCACTCCAATCTGGGTGACAGAGTGAGACTCCGACTCAAAAAAAAAAAAAAATTGTTCTTGGAGACCAAGAAATAATTCCTTTGGTCTTATGGTCATTTAGAATTAATGGTGTTTTGACCTTCCAATAAGAAATAATCATGTCAGCCGGGCTTGGTGGCTCAGCCTGTAATCCCGCACTTTGAGAGGCTGAGGTGAATGAATTGCCTGAGCCCGCGGGTTCGAGACCCGCCTGGGCAACTTGGTGAGACCTCATCTCTACAATAAATAAAAAAATCGGCTGGGTGTGGTAGCGCATGCCTGTAATTCTGCCTACTCGGAAGGCTGAAGCGGAAGGATCGCCAGAGCCCAGCAGGTTGAGGCTGCAGTGGCCGGGAGCAGCCACTGTATTCCAGTCTGGGTGACAGAGTGAGACTCCAATTCAAAAAAAAAAAGAAATACCATGTCAATTTTACATTGGTAAAAATCAGGATATACTAACTAGGATATATTAGCATGTTATATTATCAAAATGGAAGTGAGAATTATGTAGCTTTTGTTATATCTACATGGAAAGAGGATTAGAAGAAGCTTTCTTCAGCAATTCTAAGGCGATTAATACAAACTGGCAGGAATAGGCAAAGACCGATACAGAGTGGCCTTGAATTAAACACTTTTGACTTTTGAACTTCACACTTTTCGTTATTTAAGTATATTAGTGCCCCTAAACAACTGTTGTTTCTTGAATTCAGACATTCTGACAAATGAACAAGCATATCTATGGTGGTACTTGCCCATCAGACAAAAGTTCAACAGCTGTCAGCATTAATTAGTGCTCACTTGTAGGCTAGCTGCCCTATTAGGTTGGTAAGATTATTGTGATCATAGTAGGAAACTAGAGATTAACTTCTCAGGGTTGTAGCTAGTACGTTATAGAGTTGGAATTCAGACATAGATGTTCTCACTTGAAAGCTCAGCCCTTCACCAAATTCAGATTCAGCAGCACCACTACCTTCATACACCAGTATTTGTACTGCAAGATTTTAGGATTTTACAGCTTTGGAAACTTTGCCCGAGACTTTATCTCTTTCTGGATATCATTCAGGTTAGGCATGGACAGGGCTATGAGGTGATTTATAGTGAAAATTGTGGTGGGTTGAAATTCTCCTTGTGGTGTGTAAGGTTGGAATAGCTTTTGTGTGCGTAGATTTGATTAGTTGAAATGCCTTTACAATGCATCTCACGTGACTCATCATAAATTAATAAGTTTGGGTTTTACATTTTTAGTTTTTGAAAACCTTCACCCATGACCTTACTCGAACTCCTGACTGTTGATTCTCCTTTTGCTAAAAGTATTATCTTTTGCTATGTAGTTCTCAACCAGTTTTGTACTCTTCTGTGACTTTGTGAGCCCCAGTGCTTTCTTCTACCATTATTATTAATTTTAAAATGTTTTTAATGGTTAAGGAGTAGGGAAGCTGAGGGATAGAGATAATAAATACTCGAATCTGTTTTGTTAAGCAGCCCCCCCATATTTTTATTTTCTTATTTTCTTCTTATTTTATTCGAAGACTCACTCTCACCCAGACTGGAGTACAGTGGCACGATCACAGCTACCCTAGCCTTGACCTGCTGGCAATCCTTCCACCTTGGCCTTCCAAGTAACTGGAACTACAGGCTTGTGCCACCATGCTAGGCTAATTTTTTTTTTTTTTTTGAGTTGGAGTCTCACACTGTCACCCAGACTCACCCAGACTGGAGTGCAGTGGCCGCTCCCAGCCACCTCAGCCTTGACCTACTGGTCTCCAGCGATCCTTCCACCACAGCCTTCCGAGTAGCCGGAATTACAGGCGCACACTACCACACCCGGCTAATTTTTAATTTATTGTAGAGATGAGGTCTTGCCAATTTGCCAAGGTGGGTCTCGAACCCGCGGGCTCAGGCAATCCACTCACCTCGGCCTCCCAAAGTGCTGGGATTACAGGCTGAGCCACCGAGCCCGGCCTTAATTTTTTATTGTAGACACAGGATCTCACCTTCTTGCTCAGGCTGCTGTCAAACTCCTTGGCTTAGGCAGTCCTCTCACCTTGGCCTCACAGAGTGCTGGGATTACAGGCATGAGCCACCGCACCCGACCCCTGTACTTTTATTTATTTATTTATTTTGAGTTGGGGGATCTCACTCTGGCGCCTAGACTGGAGTGCAGTGGCATGCTCACAGTTAT